ACAAGAATGATGGTAATTATGTAGAAGAAAGGCTGTATGAAAAGACCAAGAAGACAAAAGTCAAGAAGAAAAGGAGCAAATATGCATATGTGGTGTAGTGCCAAACCAGCCGTCTGCTTATTTTACCTTTCCAGATTCCCTGCAACACCAAACACCGCTTATATAACAAACCCAAGCCCAAAGGGTGAGGAAGATGAGATGAAGATTGTAAATTCGAAGAGATAATAGAAACGCGTGATCGCCGTCAAGGAGGGTATCAGGGGAAGGGGGTATCTCAAGCAACAGTTTGGATGTCGCGACACTCGCTTTTCGGTTCATTTTCTTCCTCGAGCAGTCTATACCCACGTTTGCATCACAATACACCGCCGGGTAGGTTGATCTGGCCTTGTCTGCCCTCGAAACCTGCACTATTGGGGGCAGACCCCCCGCTGGTGTAAGCGTTGTCAACGGGATGCAGCTGTTTTCGTAGCATAAACATCGGTTTTCTTCCCTCCTTCTCCAGTTGCTTGAAGAGAATAAGCGGCCGCTCCTCAAGTCCTAGGCATCGCTCTTGATCACCGTACACAATGTACAATGCATACTGCTTCCAATCGGCATTGATATTGTACTTTTTGAGTGCCGCGGGAAGAACCTTATGACAAGGGTCATCCATCGAAACACGGAATGACTTGAAGATCTCGACGCTAGGTGGATCAGCACCCGCTCGGGAATCGGACCGTGTGGGAACATCAGGGCGTGACGCTTGTGTGGGGGTGGGATTCAACCGATCGGGACGTGATTGTGACGTCGGAGTATCTTCTGGATGATCATAGCCTGTGCGACCCGAATTCGGTTGTGTGTAAGAACGTGATGCAAGCGTCTGATGGGCACCGTAGTGAGCACCAGGAGACGTCGGCGATGGCATGCCCGGTGACAACTGTGGCTTGCCATTCAAGGCGCTAAGATGGGACGAATTCGCGGCAGCAGAAGGGTCCAGTCCACCGTTGTCGTTGTACGGTCGTCCTTCGTGTATCGATGGAGGGATATGCGTAGGCGAGTTATTTTTTGGTGTGGTACCCCCAGTGTAGACGCGTTTGGAGAAAGTCCGAGAGATTCCGGACGCTGCACGCTCAATCAAGGTGTTTCCAGAGGGCGACACAAGGGTTTGGCCTTCGTAGTGGCCATCGGCTCCTGGGCCCGCGGATGATGGAGGGGGCAGTGGTTGTGATCGATCCTTGGCCATTTTGAAGACAGGAAGAAGCTCTTCGCGAAGCCGGCGATACTCCTCTGCAACGCGCCGCAACTCCGACTCGACACTGACGATTTTTTCATCTCGTAACCGGATCGACTGTATCAAACGAGCAATGTCCTCTTGTGTGGCCGTTTCGTTCATGCTTTGGTCCGCCGCTACAGAACAGTTAGAACGAACACCCACGCCAGCATGGAATGGTACCTACAAAGAGGTATGTAGTGGTCCGGGTCGAGGGGAATGTCTTGCTTGACTTTAGTCTCGTATACACTCTTCAAAATGGTCAATCGGTGCCCAACGCTGGTGATTCCCATCTCTTTCAGTTCCTCGTGTTTGAGCGCAATCAGTGCTTCGCCAACGATTTCGTTCTCTATAACGAGTAGGCAGGTTAGTAGCTTTTCCCACGCTCCAGAGCTCTGTCTAATGGTCCCCATTGTTCTTTCTGTTAGGCGGCCAACTTACCAAGAAAGATTGCGCAGTACTGACGGAGACCAAGGGCGGCAAGCCAGTTTGCGCATTCCTCAGCGGTCCACTCTGTAATGATGGTCTTCGGCGATCGAGGGTCTTCCTCAGGGTTTGCAAATGTCCTAGGAGTGTGTTCGGCCGAAGGGAATTCGGAGTCGGAGGGAGAGGCCTCGGAGTCGGTCGCCAGATGAGGGGAGGTAATCACACTCCGTTCGTACTCATCATCCGCGTCGGAGTCCGCGTGATAGGATGTATGCAGAGACATGTCTGTAGAAGGAGGCTAGGGAGCCGACAATGACGTCCACGGGAGCGAAGAGGAATGGAGTGGACGTCGGCGCAGAGAGTCGGCTCTGCAGCAACACTACTGTGAAGAGTGACTGCAAAGTGAGAAGACGGGGTGCATAGATTATGAAATAGTATTTGGTCTGCTTTAGAAGATCGCGGTCGAGGTCATCCAGAGCTGCGATTAAGCGAGGTCGGGGGGTGATCCAAGTGATGAGGGCAGCTGAGCCAAGCAGGTAAGCCACATGGACGGGGAACAATGGCGGTTAGAGGCAGCCAGGAATCGTCAAGATGCGGGGACGGAACGGAAGGGAGGTAGGTTCGTGAAGGCCAGCGACTGAACTAAGGTCCTTCGTAAGATGGTAGTAAGTCGAGATAGCGAGTTTCGTCACGATGAGAGGTATAGTCGAGGTTGGAACCGAAGAATATGTTCCTGAGGCCACCAAGGCAGTAGTGGTTGGAGAGTGAGAGAGCGGGGGGAGCAGCGGATCTTCTCCCAAACGGGAAGAACAGTAAATTAACAAAAGAGTGGTATTTATTCCACGAGCGAGAATTGAGGAAAAGAAGGTGTAGAGGAGGAAATGTCAAGGAAGAGGAATAAATCAAAATAGAGAGTGATGATAGTTTCTTCCTCGAGTACCAGAGTGGTATGTACCTAAGACCTAAGGAACAATCTATCTACCTAATGGAAGTACCTGATCTGGGACGTGGAGTAACTCTTTTTCTTCCTTGCTAAGGTACCTTATTAATGACCAATCCGAAAAAGGAGTGGCACTGGTCAGCGCTTCTAAAGTTGGAGCTTGCACGTGACCCTGGTCTGGACCCCCTTACTTCTCGATTAAGCTGTTCCTGACTGAGGACGAAGGAACAAAAAAAGTGACACCGATGACGGTGCTGATTGGTATTACCTTACTCTGCTTGCCGATGAAGCTTGCTGGATGACTTGTTTAAGCGTGGTCTCGCTACCGAGTTCCGAGTTCGAAATATGTCGCATTCTCCTTGATTTCCCCGTATTCTGCCAGGTGGTTTACTCGTTAAGACTATCCCTTCTCCGACTCAGGTCTGTCCAGTATCCTAGTCGTTGATCATTAATACCTCAAGTCAATGCACCGGAAAAGGGGCAAGTAAGCTATCAACGGCCTCGACGGACTAGTGGTCAAGTTACACTGTTAATGATTATTGCACAAGTCCAACTACTATCTTCTTGTCTCAGTCATCCCCAATTATCCAAGGTCCAGTCTCCCATCAGTACGCAGGGGCAAAAGTCTACTGACGTTGATGGTATCCACAGAGTATAAAATCTTCAATAATGCTCAATGTTATTCATGATAGGCGCTGTCAAAAATCAATAGTGCCGGGGACCTGTACATTTTGGGCCTAAAGAGTCGCAATGCTCCGCTATCATCGTGCTAATATTGCATTTCTATTCTGGGCTATTCTCTGATGCCTCTTTATTGAGATATTTTTTTTTTTTTTTTTTTTTTGACTATTGACTCTCTTTCATGCGCTAATTGTCTACAGAGCAAGGCTCTGTCTGGTTCATAAATTTAGGATCAGTCTTGGTCTTTGGTCGACAGACTTCTGACGTCTCTGCGCTCCGGGGAGTATCTAGTGCAGAGTACAGATGAAGCAGCAGTTCCTTCTTCAGCGTAATCGGTAGATTTCTTCCTAGAGACCAAGGTATTGTGATGTCAACTATGGCAGGCATTGCATGAGCAAGTGGTGCGCCTTGGCTCTCAACTGGCAACAGTGGAAAGCGTCATGATATGTATTTGGTTGTTCATCAGTGGACCATATCTTCTATTGATTGACAACCTCCCCAACAAAAGCAAAGAGCTCCATTATGGTCTTTCAATTTACCTTTATCGTCCCATTGACTCGATCAATAATAATGACCTGTGCAATGCTTCTGCATTGTCAATAGAAATTCCAATGCAACTGATACCCACTCTGGCGCTTGGGGCTGTTCAAAGCGCCAACAATGAATGGATAATGCATACAGCTTCTGGACTGTATAAGTGTCAATGCGTTGATACTCGAAATTGTTTTGATGCTTATCCCAGAGTCCAGAAATGTACCTCATCATAATAGAGTCACCGGTCGTGATACACGAGGACCCGTTCCCCCGTAGGAATTCAAACACCAGATAAATCATACATGAATTTGAAGATCGACAATGTTGGCAATGAGGATGATGCTAAAGAAGTCTTCAAGAATGATTCATATTGCTCGTAGTAAACATTGTCAATGTCAATACCAATGTCTTGGGACTCGTTGCTTCAATCAACGCTCCGGGGCAAAATGCGGCGGAATTGGCCTCCCAACACCGAGGTCCTCTGAAATATCCTACACTTCGAATGAGCACAATAGAGCTTGCGTCTATTGTCAATAACACAAATCCTTCTTGCTGCATGGATATATCTACCTTATCGTTTCCACTGCACTTCAACTCTGTTCGGAATTAGTCCCAGTATCTCCTGCCTTGGCCGGAACGAAATTCTTCTGAGAGTGAAGTATCGGCGTCATCAATTCCAGGCGCTCGCCAACAAGCACTCTACAAACCCAAGGTAAGAGTTGACATGACAAGGCACAAATCGCAACAGCGCCATGAACTCCATCCAATATTAAAAACACGCCATCACAGAAACGCGCGATTCAATCCTGCAGCAGGCTCTCCGTACCCGCCGCGGGAACAGCGTCGCATCACAACCTCCCTCCCCACTGCAGCGCCAGCACCAGCACGACGGCCTACAACTCGATCCGCAGCAAAGAAGGAAGGGCAGGAACCCAGCTCCCTCAATCGGACGGATCAAAAGCAAAACCACAATACTACGGCGTAACTGAACGACCATCGTCGTCAGTCACGTCCTCACCTCACCCGAAAAACTTCCCTACCATCCAGTAGACTAGATACCGGCCGCCGACATCTCAACCCCGACAAGCTCACCACTACAACCACAACAGCAGCAGAAAAGCTCGACTCAGAACCAAAACCTCAGAGAAAAGAAAGAGACAGGAAGGAAGAATGCCCTCCACAACATCCCCGCCACCATCAAACACCTCCTCTCCCTCCTCGCCCAACACCCTCACGCCCGAAACCCTCGAAAGCGACCTCCTCACACACCTCGCCTCCACCACCGCCCTCGAAGACCTCCACGCAACGCTCCTCTCCTCCCTCCAACGCCTCGGCTGGACCGAAAAGATCCGAAAACTCTCCCTCGAGCTCCTCCGCGCCGGCCGCTGTGAGCGCTTCGACGACGTCGTCGAGGCAGTCGTCGCCTCCGCCGCGGGGATAAAGCCGCCCTCGGCAGCGTCGCAGAACGGGAATGGAAACAGCAATAACAGCGAGGACGACTGGGCCGAGCTAGACGAGGTGGACGTGCGGATTCCCAAGGCGGTGGTGGAGCAGGGGGTGCGGGCCATCAAGGAGGTGTTGAGGGAGGTGATTGTGATAGAGGATGATCCGGACTTGAACGCCTTGCATCAGAGCGAGCATGTGTCGGAGAGCAAGGGGAGCTTAGAGGCCGAGGGGGAGAAGGAGAAAGCCAAGATCTCCAAGGCCGGGGAGTCGTCGGTAAAGAATGGTGATACAAGTCCCACCAAGAAGACGGAGAAGAAGCCCAAAACGGGGAAACAGGTCAAATGAAGCATTGCTTCAAGGGTTTCCGTCCTACTTTGAGTGTTGCTCCATGTCACTTCTTCGCTTCCATTCCTGGGGATACCTTTACTTTGGCTCATGCAGGCGTTCGTCATGGCTTACGGTTTTTCGGTCGCACTTTCTGGGAGTCTAGAGGGATGGGATTTTGCCATTTGATACCATATCCGATCATTGTACAAGGTTTAAGAACCAACTTTCTCATTTACGTTCTAAGCTGTAAAAGAAGACTGCTCAAGCTCAAATGTATCGATCTTCCTCGTCCGCCCGTACATGAGGCGTATGCGGAGATACAAGCTCAAGGGATCTTTATCGTAAGGAAGTAAGCAAAATGTAAAACAATAGATACGCATTCGTGTCAACAGGTGAATCCCGTTCACATCTCCAGGGGTCATAAGCCAAGGCTAGATCTAGCTACTAGAGGATAGGAGACTGTAAAATGGAAACGGACCAAGCTCATTAGAGAACACCCATTTAGTCGTAGAGGCTGTCATCATTGCCGGCTTCACCGAATGTGTCGTTATTTTGGATCTCACCCGAAGACGGGAAGCGGAAGAAGCTGCTGCCACCGGAGTTCTTCAGGCTCTGAGCGAAAGCCTCGTAACGGCGGATCTCCACATCGCTGACGGAGCGGCGAGCCGACTTCATAGCCTCCTCGAAGTGAGCACGGGTGAGCTGGGGCACCGGGTCCTCCTCCTCGTCCTCATCCTCCATCTTGACATCCTCACCAGCAGCCTCGCGCTGCTTCTGACGCTCAATATCCGCAGCAATGGATTCCTTAATGGCCAGCTTGACGGCACGCTGGGTGACAAATCCAAGATCGGCACCAGAGAATCCATGAGTCTTGCTGGCAATGAAGGCAATATCAACGTCTGGAGCGACAGGGGTCTTGCGGAGCTGAGCCTTGAGAATACTCTCACGAGAAGCCTGATCGGGCAGAGGCACGTAGACCAGGGTATCAAGACGACCAGGACGGACCAGCGCAGCATCAAGCTGCTCGGGTCTGTTGGTAGCACCAATGACAAAGACGTTCTTCTTCGATGTCATGCCGTCCATTTCTAAAGTATTCGTTAGTCACAGTTAATTTATATCGCAAGGCTTGTCAAGCTACTTACCAGTAAGAAGCTGGTTGACCACACGGTCAGAGGCACCACCAGCGTCGCCGACGGAACCACCACGGGACTTGGCGATCGAATCCAACTCGTCAAGGAAAACGACGCAAGGGGCAGCAGCACGGGCCTTGTCGAAAATGTCCCGGATGTTGCTCTCGGACTCACCGAACCACATGCTCAGAAGCTCAGGTCCCTTGACCGAGATGAAGTTGGCAGCACACTCGTTCGCCACGGCCTTGGCAAGCATGGTCTTACCAGTACCAGGAGGACCATAGAACAGAACACCACGAGATGGCGAAAGGCCGAACTTCTGGAACTTTTCGGGGTGATCCACGGGGTATTGGACACTCTCGATGAGCTCGCGCTTGACCTCCTCCAAACCACCAATATCCTCCCAACGGACGTTGGGAACCTCGACGACGGCAACCTCGCGGAGAGCAGAGGGGTTTGACACGCCGAGAGCGTAACGGAAGTTCTCCATTGTAACGCCAAGGGAGTCAAGCACCTCCGCGTCAATGGTGTCCTCGTCAAGATCGATCAGATCCATCTTCTCACGAATCTGCTGCATAGCGGCCTCAGAGCAGAGAGAGGCAAGATCGGAACCGACGTAACCGTGGGTCTCGGCGGCAATGGTCTCCAGATCGACATCCTCAGCGAGCTTCATGTTCTTGGTGTGGATGGACAGGATCTCGAGACGGCCAGTGGGGTCGGGGATACCGATATCAACTTCACGGTCGAAACGGCCGAAACGACGGAGGGCAGGGTCGATGGAGTTGGGGCGGTTAGTGGCGGCCATGACGACAACGTTGGAACGAGCCTTCATGCCGTCCATAAGAGTCAAGAGCTGAGAGACGACACGGCGCTCGACCTCTCCGTTGGTCTTCTCACGCTTAGGGGCGATGGAGTCGATTTCATCAATGAAGATAATGGCGGGAGAGTTCTTCTCGGCCTCCTCGAACGCCTTGCGCAAATTCGATTCGGATTCACCGGCCATCTTGGACATGATTTCGGGACCGTTGATAAGGAAGAAGAAGGCACCAGTCTCGTTCGCAACGGCACGAGCCATCAGTGTCTTACCGGTACCAGGAGGACCGTACATCAGAATACCACGGGGCGGCTTGATACCGATGGACTTGAACAGCTGAGGGTGACGCAGAGGCAACTCGACCAATTCACGGATCTGTGCCATCTGCTTTCTGCAACCACCGATATCGTCATAACCGACCTCGTTCAGGTTGCCCTCCTCATCCTCCCGCTGGATTGGCTCACCCTCGCAGTGGATGATGGTATCTTGTGCGACAATACCGTACTCTGGGGGATCGACCTCAACAACCTTGAACTCCACCTGTCTCATACCTCCACGTACTGTGAACAGGTCTCCCTGTTTCACGGGTCTGTAGGCTTCACGGAAGTATGGGGCGAGGTAGACATCGAAAAGCGATCCAGTCAGACCCTCTACGGTGTCTGCAATGGGAAGGACGGCAATCCGCTTGGCCTGCAGAGAATAATGGGTCAGTTTTCTGCTTTCGTTTGGGGAACATCAAAGGCGAGCCTACATATTTGATATCTGGGCAAGGGTGAACGGTGATAATGTCACCGTGCTTGACACGCAGATTGTGTCTCACGACACGGTTGATGCGGGCGCTTCCATCATCCAGGTCATCATCAGCAAGCACAATCAAAACGGTATCCTTCCGCTTCTTGCCCTTCACCAAGACTGTGTCACCACGGAAAAGCTGGAGCGTCTCCATGGTATTGTTGGAAAGGGCAATAACTGAGTTGTCATCGTTGACGGCATCGGTCACACTAGGAAAATTAAGTCAGATCCACGTCCGCCACTTCAATAGCCATCAGCGTGCGATGAGCTTACATCAACGAGTTGGGCTTCTTCTTCTTCTTGAGGATGGCTGTAGAGGTATCGAGCTCCTGCGTTTTGAAGAGTCAGTACTAATGTTGACCGCTTGTTGACGCCACTAGAACTTTACCTCTTTCTTCTCGGCGCCCGAGGCGTCGCTGTTAGTTCGTTAGCATGAGGACCCTGTAAGACGAAGAACCGAGAAACCAAGGACGTACTGGAGGTGCACCCTCTTCTTGTCATGAGCGTGGTCTGGTTCTGCGCTCATTTTGACGAATACTGAGATACAGTAGTTGTGTGAACAAGCTCTTGAAGCAACCTAGACAATCTGCAGGTATCAAGGATGTCGCTCGGATGTGCTCAACTGCCAAGTAGGCAAAAAAAAGCGAGAAAGGAAAATTGAATAAAACTATTAGAGAGTTGTAGAGTCCGACAGACGAGATGAGGTGTCTGGGGGACAAAGGGAGGTGAAGACAGGTGGTAGGTGGATGTAAGAGAGATGGATGTGAGGTTCGGAGGTTGGCAGCAACAGCTCCAGTTAAAGAGGTGACGATAGGTTCGGTGCCTGTCGGACTGATGACTTAAGCCGCCTCAGGTTCATCAGCCACAGATGCCGCCACCGCCCAAAGGAAGAAGCGAATGGAAGATGGTCGTATCCAACCACTAGAGGGACGGAGATTTGCTTTGAAATCCATGCTGCGTAACTACGTGGCCTTATCAGTCTTCATGCTTCCTTTGAGATGACAATGCTTCACAAATGCTAAGCTTCATGCATGGGTTTGCCACCCTGGCAGACAACCGCAGGACATACTTTGCCTGTGTGCCTGAGGCATCAATGTATAGGGACAAGTGTGTCTTGGCAGTGAGCCAGACCTGGTGCTGGCATACCTTTTCATCGTGCCGTCCATTATAATGTATGATTCTCACACTTTACAGGAATGAGCTGGTTGATCGTATACCCGCCGAGGTAACGTAGATTGGATAAACCTAAAATCTAACAACTGCCACTGAGACTGGACTAAATAGAAAAGTTACAGGGTTGCATCCATGATATCTACCTCTCTATATCACTAAAGAAGATGGGAGCAGAATTATACACGAGTGAGCACGAGTGAGAGAGTGAGTCACCAAATCGCGATCATAACTTCGCAGTCGCAGCCCAAAGATCGTAGAATCCCCAAGCGCCAGCCATGAAACTGATCACACCCGACAAACTATTGGGGATGCCGACGCCATTTTCGAAACACCAGTGAAGACACAACGGAGCCCAGCACACGTTATTGACCAGAGCCTTCTTCCAGGCACGAATCTCCGCCCTCAGTTCCTCCTGGCCCTCCTTCGTCTGCGCCTTGACCGGGTCACTTGCAATCTTCCTCCTCCGCAAGACAACCTGTCTCCAAAGCACGAAGAACTGGAAGATAATATGGCCGAACCAGGCCCGGATGCTCCACAGATACCACTTGTTGATGCCTCCCCATCGATCGATCCACTTCTTTGAGATAACTCCCTTGGATGCCAGGTAGCCCACGTTCTCGAGGAATTGGTATACCATGTTCACGGCCACCTGGGCCAGGGTCAAGTTGCGAATAATGGGATCCGAAGGTGGTGACTTCAAAGTGGCGGATCCCCATGTCCATAGGGGAACTAGACCCAAGAGCCGAATGGTATAACGGGTCTCAGACATGAGAGAGGAAAGGGCGAGGAGCCGGGATTGGGGCGACGAGGACGGAGCGGTGGTGTTGCGTGTAGATTTCGTACGGTTGTTCAACCGGGCAAGAAGGCCCAGTCGCGTTTGCACAGCGATCCATGGCGCAGAAGTAATGAGATGATGAAGAGCATGAGTGAGATACCCGGTAGCGGCGAAGACTCGTTCTTGGCCGTAGGCTGTGGATAGGAGTCTATCGAGTGTAGTTGTTGTTAGTCACATGCGCGTCGCGTCGCGCTTTGGCAACAGCAGAGGGCATTGGAATTGACATATACTTACCGGTCTAGTCGTTCAATATTGTAGTCTGTCGCCTTGAGAGCTTCCAGCAACTTGCGTTGGGTATCATTCCTCGCTGAAGAGGACGATACCGGCGGTGAAATCCCCGCGGGGGTTACGGGCTTCCCCACACTGGGCGCTTCATTTTCAGGTGCCACAGGGGGCTCTGACGAAGCGAGTGTCTTTTCAGAGTCTGTCATAGTGGTATCTGACTGTCTGATTATATTTCAAAAAAAAAATTGTGGAGAAGTCGCGTCGCAGCTTTCTGAGATTTAAGGAGATTAGTAGTATGGAGCATCTGATGAGGATCTATGCTCACAGCGCTGGAGCCGAGGCTCGGAATTCGGAGCGTGCAGGCAGCTAGTGTGCAATAATGAAACCAAAGACGTCCAACTTCAACAAGAAGGAAAATCACAAGTCCACGGTACATACGGAATACTCATAATTTACTCTGCCTTCGATCTGCAGAGGTCGGTTCGTGACGGTCGAACCTACTACATAAGGTCAACTGACTGCGAGTAGTATCTCCAGAGGTCTCCCTATCTCTGGCTTGACCCGAACTGTCAAGGAAATCGAGATTCCTTCCCAAGCAATCCTTGCATTGATATTTTACTGGCCGATGAATGATGACAATGATAGCCAATGAATAAGATTAACAGACAGGTTCCAGGTACTTGTGAACAGCTTCAACAGCATCCTCTAGGGCTGTTTAATTCACTTATCCAACAGATTTGGCTCCAATCTCGCATCAGACTGTTTCGCCCAGCGAGCTGGTTGGCTATTGGCTGACGTGATCATTCGAGATCGCAAATATCTCCAGTCGTACTGCGAAATAGCGATTCCAAGCCATAATCATCATCGCCTACTTCGACATCAAGGTCACTTTCACGCTCATGAGTGCTCCGTACTTCAGCAGGCTCAACGGCGTTCTCTTCAGCATAAGCTATCAAGATGCTTCTCGAGCCGCCGGTCAAAAAGGAATGTGCTGATCCGCTGTCACTGAGCTCGGCAATAAGACCCGCGCTTGAAAATACTCTGACTTCCAACGGATCGCAAAACCTACTCAGATCAATCCGTGATGCAATTGCGCAAAGGCGCATAAATTGGGGCTGCATTATTGCGAGACTGATGCTTTCGGATGATGTGTAAGGAGGTGTCGGTAGCCCGAAGAAATGCTCCCTCTGCTTGTAATGATTGTCCAAGTGGCGGACAACCCTAGCGTCGGAAACCCTTTTGTTGCTGAGCTCCCATGGAAGGGTGATCGCAGTACATGGATCGTTGAAAAAGCCGTCAAGATGGATGAAGGCACGCTCAGGGATATGATCCATACAATGGTAGCAGCACCAGAATCGGCAAGCTGGACGCGGCTGCCTGGAAGGTTGTTCCGGGCAAGGCATTGATTCTACATGATTCTGCCGACGGACACCATCAATTCTCTCTGTGGGCACTCCATCATTGCCGTTGTCATTGTCCTCGTCGCCCGGCTCGACTCTCTGGATGACTTCAATGCGTGAAAACGGAGCTGCTGCCGGCCCATACTCTTGCTCCATATGCTGCAACACGATTGCCCTCTGTTGCCTCACGATCGTTCTCTCTCTGAAGGTGTAGTGACCGTTTATCATGGCCCTGGAAATTCCTTGGGACAGCCCCGGACCGTTTGGTTGATCGAGATCTTCGACGCAGAGGAGCAACCATCCGAGTAGGGGTTGGCGAGCGCAGTTGGGACAAAGTATACGATCGTCCACAAACCGGCGAACCATAATGCCATGAGTACACTGTTTGTTCATCTCATACTGCGGAAGGTTGTATTTCGGGCCAAAGGGCGCTCGAAGACGCCATCCTCGCCATGTTCTTCCTGGGTATATGTCCGGCCGCTGCTCAAAAATATCAGGCAGGACGTCTTCAGGTCTAGGCACTGGCGGCGGGTTGATGCAAGGGAATGGAACTCGAGGAGGCTGCGCTTCGGGGACTCTGCGGTGCCATCCAGGATGAGGTCTCGAGCTCCCCTCTCCATTGTTCGCCATGGCTTTGCATACGTGTTGAGAGGTTGGCTATGGAAGAAAGAAGTGGGGTATTAGGAGGAGTCATGACAACTGAAAATGTGCTGTGTGCTTTCTCGCTCTAATAGGAAAATGTGAATGGGGTGTTCTCGGCGACGATGCCATGGTGATGTTGACTGCAGAGAGTCAGTTCATCGTAGGTGCTTTCCTATTAAGGACATCCTTATCCCATAACTTTTACTGTGGCAGATAGATGAGTGAAGAGTTAAGCATATTATCATAGAGTTCTAGGAGATTATAAAGAGCTTGAAGCGATTTCTCTGGTTCTAGCATTATCATACTTGATGGTTATTCTGGTTGAGGTACTGTTGTTTATAGAGGCAGGGACATGGTTCACTAACGCATCCTAAGAAGTAGCTTGATAGCTAGACCCTCATTCTTCTATGTCTTCTTGACTAAACTCTGTGGTATTTTTCTATCTTAGCTCCTTATTGTAACTTCTCTCTTTATTCTACTATGTGCATAATGACATGCCTAAAAGAAATGATGGCAACAGCGTTATGCACACAGAAAGACCGCTACCTTTATTAGAAACAGCAGCACAAACTGATGAACGCCTTTAGCAGAATCAAACAAATATATTTCCAGCCAAAGGGTCCCAAGAAACACCATATCAGAAAAACTCCCCAGATATCGGAGGTGCCCGAAGTTGCCTGGCCTGTCAGGATGAACCCGCCATCTGCCGACCGCGTGGCCGAATAAGAAGCTGTTCTCAGAGATCGGAGATGCGTCCCCCTCCACCTTCAAGCAACTAATAACCGATATTATTTATCTATCTCCATCTCAGGAACGACGTTTGGGCCCCATTACATCCTGTCTGTCTATATCTAGATCAATTGCATGCACATAACTCTCCGGAGCTGCTGCAAGTAAGACATTTTGGTTCCTCTGTTCTCCTTTCTTTCTATATCTTAGTCGTCGTTGTTGTGTCGTGGTCTGGGCCAGGCTGCCTCGGTAAGCTCCCTGGTGCAATCAATAACCGTCTCCCTCTGTCTTTCTCCAGCCTCCTCTTCACGTAAACAAACAGCGGCCGGCCCCTTTCCCTTTAGCTCTCTTTAAACGTCCTCTTGTCCAACCCCACGATTCTCCTTTCTGTCCAACCTAGCGGCCTCCTTACCCACCTCGCCTCATATTTTCTCGTTCCGTCGATTATCAATTGTGGTCGTTCTCATTCCTGACCCTCTGTGACTGACCGTCTTTCCCACTGCGCATAGCTATCGGCTATTCTTATCGCCTCCATTACCCGATCTGTCTACCGACCCGCAAGTCCCAATAAACACCAGCAACCATGTCGGTCAAGTTTCAGGAAGAGGTCACCAAGTCAATCCGAGCGGATACCAAGGAATTGGCGCATAAGGTCGGGGAGCGGTTGACGGGTGGAAATGCTCAGACAGGCTACCTCGCTGTATGTTTAACCTGCTGCTGATCGAAAACGGAAGAGTACTGCGCGGATAGGTGGCTAACCGGGCATTTGAACATTGCATAGCTCTACCTGCGTCAGCTGCAGTCGAATCCCCTGCGCACGAAGATGTTGACATCCGGTTTGCTTTCCGGTCTTCAAGAAGTCCTAGCATCCTGGATTGCGAACGATGTCAGCAAGCATGGGCATTACTTCAGCGCTCGGGTGCCCAAGATGACCCTCTACGGCATGTTCATCAGTGCGCCCCTGGGCCACTTGCTCGTCGGCATCCTCCAGAAAGTCTTTGCTGGTCGCACCAGCTTGAAGGCTAAGATCCTCCAGATCCTCGCCAGCAACCTGATCGTACGTTTCTGTCATACATGTCCTATGCACTCGCCAGACAGCTAGTGCATGTCACTCAGCGCGGCAAATGCTAACTGCAATCGCAATGCAGGTCTCCCCCATTCAAAACGCAGTCTACCTCACGTCGATGGCTATCATCGCCGGCGCCCGCACCTTGCACCAGGTCCGCGCAACCGTTAAGGCCGGCTTCATGCCCGTCATGAAGGTCAGCTGGATCACCTCACCTCTGGCGCTCGCTTTCGCCCAGAAGTTCCTTCCCGAGCACACTTGGGTGCCGTTCTTCAACATTATCGGATTCTTCATCGGAACCTACGTCAACACTCACACCAAGAAGAAGCGCCTGGAGGCTCTGAGAAAGGTACATTAATCTTCTCGCTTTAAGTAGAGCCCCGCTAATATGCAGCAGCGCTACGCCGAACGCCGTGGCCCCGGCAGCGAGTACGAGAAGGGCGGCGACTACCGGTAAATAATGCGAATATATCTAATGATTCGCCAGTCCATCCCATGCCGCGCGATTAACTAGGACCAAGATATGAAGTCTTGTAGAATTCCTTGGATATTGGGCTTGTGGCTGGTGGACTGCTATGCATGGCAATTTATTTCTTGAACATGTCTCATGTGACATCTCTCTTCGACCCAGTGATTCCCCTGATGTCGAGATGAAGATATGCCTTTTCTTTTTATCTGTTACGACGAATGGTTCTTTTTAAATATTGTATGTGAGTGTTTATGATGCCTTGGGCTTTGAACTATCTAGAATTTGGTCTGGCTGTTTGGACCTCAGCTCGATTCGGACTTAACCCTTACTAGATGATAGGCCAGCAGTCTCTAAGCTCGTGCAGCCTCCCGTAACATAGTGTTTGACCTTGTCGACGCTAGAGCAGTTGATTTGTTCATTTACACATATATCCACGGAGCACGAAGGATGGCACACAGCCTTGATGAAAAGGGCGATCAGGCCATGCCTAATGAGACTGATTAATGCACTCCATTATTCTTTGTCAGTGATTATTCGACCTCCATCTCCTCCGCAGACTTGCCCCGTTTCGCCTGCACCCAACCCACAAACTCATCCAGGGTCCCCGGCCAAGCGGCGTCAGCACTCCACCAACCAAAATTCTCATCCTCGAGAGTCTTGCGCAGGAACACTTCGACCTGCTCCCACAGATCCTTGTTCACAGGTCGCTTTCCACGCTCTTCGAGGTATTCAATCCACCAGTCCAACCAGGGAGTCGTAGGCGTGTTCCACTGCATGCCACCGTGCTCGGGCGTAAAGAACAATCTCCACTGTTCTGCGGCGATATCGAACTGGAGATTCCGTTGGCCTTGCATACGACAGAGAGGAAATGTGTACCGATAAACGCGACGGAAGAGGTCTGGCTCGGCTGGAATACGAGCTCGAATGTCCGCCGCATGAGCAATCATCTTTTGTAGATTATCGCATCTAGACCGCCATATTAGGTGAACAAACGAGTGCAGGATGGGTTTTTGATTGCTCACTTACCCAACGCCCCTCCAGCCGTTTATGAAGCCTTCCCTCGTGAACTCACCCATGGACGGCGACTTGAGAAGCTCTGCGATTCCCAGGCATGCCACCTCGTCTAATTGTACTTGAATATCCCCCAGGAACTTCATGGCCCCTTCAATACCGATCCCGTCAGGGTTCTCTTCGGGTGCATCTAAGCTTCAATTAGCAATCGCACGGCGACGAGCTGGTGTCGGGATCTTCAACAAGGAAATACCTCGATACGAGTCGAAAACCTTGTTGAGGGCAGAAGTGCTTCCCCCGTTGCTTTGTGGGCTCTGGAAGTAACTGACGATTCAGTTAGTCTTCGCTCAGAGACAAATATTCGAAAGATCCAAACAAAGAAGCAATCGCGGATAAAATAGATTCAAGATCCGCCGAAACGATATGAGTGAATGAGCACACTCGAAGAAGACCACGGATACAAGGAATTTGTCAGCCGACTCTAAGCTCAGTCCATCTGATGCTCATTGCAAGTCGCTCGGAAGCTCCACGATCACGATGAAAGCAGCTGTTTCACTCAGGGAGAGTTGTCGCTCGATGATAGGACCTTGGCTTTGACAGCGCAAAGTAGAGTGGATACCTGGTTATAACGCATGCCATTCTGAACTACCCAACATAGCGTGATACCCCACTTCCAGATCCAAATGGCTGCAACGCAGAGGACTGATAGTGCTAGCCAGAGCGGGAAGATACTACGTACGTATCTGAGAGCAGGAAAGGCACCAGCAACACACATACACTTCCCACTGCTTGTTGAATCACCACAGAACGTCCCATTCAGCAGATATGGAACATGACTCAGCGTCCATCCAGTATGGCGTGCACCCGGTATGGCGTCGTTGAGTTGGATGTCTCTCGATGCACGGTTGAGTGCACGAGTAGCCATGCTGTAGATACTCAGGAACAAGTTGCAGGACGCGACGCGACGGTAGAGTATGATCCAAAGAGCAGTGGCCGCACAACAAATCCTGTTCCAAAGGAGCACTTCTTATGTACCACACGTTTGAGCCAAGGCAACAAATACCGCTCTAGATTCGGTGAAGCTCATGCAGATGTCGAGCATGGAGAATAGAATGCACTCATAACAGGAATCTTTACAAAAGAAGGCAAAAGAAAGGAACAAATTCAAATACTTACGCATCAATAGCTTCCTCTACATTCCATCTATATGCTTTTAGGAACTGTAAAGCCCAGTATGATTAGCATGATGGACAATGTAAAATTTCACGTGATCTGAACTCAAAAAATACAACTTTCGCAGGGTCTCGATAATCAGATAGACTGATTTCTGCAGAACATACCTTTGCTGCTACTGCATCTTTGGCCTCTGTGAAGTTCACAAACTGAGAGATCAGTTGCTTCTGTACTCCGGAGTAAGGTGGCATGGTGGGGTGATGGCGGGCGATAGTCGAGGAGGGGAGTTAAGATGTGGTGGAGTCGACAGATGAGAGGAGAGCGTGAGAGTTGAGCTAGTACTCAGTGAGATTGGAGGCACTGGTCGCGGCCAACAGAGTTGAGTCCAAAAGTATAAGAGTGATAACTGAAGGGATTGTCTAGAGATGCTTGGTCCACACGAGGAAGGATCCATCGCCATTTGAGGCGCTGACTGATGTTCTGTTGGGCACGTGCCCAACTGCACCTATTTTGTATGAGTCTGACGACGCCATGAAATCGATATGAGGTTATACAAATATTGCCTTCTGAGTGAGAATGAAATTCTGCGATCTACTTCTCTGCGGAAAATCTGGAATATATAGGCAGATCCGCAGTCTCGGATATCTGGCGGTGTTTGACCTCTCGACAGCAAACAGCTTACACGACTACATACTGCGACTGCCTATCTATGTAAATTCAGCACCTGCCTCATCATGAGAGCTATTGTCTGATGGATTTTGAGGGCTACAGTGCGACATCATCGCACTCTCAGGCCAAGGAATCATGGCGTGTTACTCCCGGTCCAAAAGCATATGCATAATGTAGAATGGAAGGTGATAGTTGATATTGGACATAGAGGTGAAAAGACTTTTGTAGCCGAACAGATGCGAGACTCCAAACTCCTGCGACAATCCCTTGATATCTAGTATGCGAACACCATATATGATCCTGCCTGTGAAAAGCATCTCTATCAGGTCGTAAACAGGGTATCTTCCTACGCAAAGGTTAGCATTTAAATATGACCCCAACAGCCCTCGTCAAGGAGACGGAGCGACGTACCTCTCTCAGGTATTCTCCTACATCCGCTTGCCGAAACACGGCGATCGCAGTGGGATCCAGCTTGCGGATCTCAGCAGTGGATCGGGCAGTAACACCGAATCCCTGAGCTAAGTCAGTTGCCTATCAGAAGACTTTTGCAGTTGTAGACCATCCATACCAAAGGTGTGTCGTTCGAGTCGTACACCAAGACTCCTGTATGCTCTGGGATATCCTCACTCCATCTTCCGACGTGCGCTTTCACGACATTCGACCCGTAGAGGTACGGCATGATACCATTGTCCTTGATCCAGACCTTGTATCTCGCATGAGGGGCAATTACGTCGAGCGCTAACCATGCCAGTTCGTTAGCCAGCCATGCCACTGCGATTCTGCGAGAAAGAAGAAACGAACCTGTGATATGGATTCTGAACTTTCCAGTCTTGGTAAACTTGCCGATACAAATTCCAAGAGAAAGAAGGGTGTCCCGAGGAAAACTTGTCGATAGATCTGCCAGTGACTTCTTCACGTAGTACACTCGGTTTCCCTGCAGACGAAAGACGTGGCGCTCCTCCTCGGAATCGGACTGGGGCACGATGAGGTTGTTGAGTGACCGTCCGGTGTAGCCTGCCAACTTGGCAAGTAGCGTCTGCAACTCCTGCTCCGTAAGTTGACGCATTTTTGCTTCTGCTCTGTTCAGATTAAAAATTTCTTGAAGCTCCGCGGGAACAAAAATTCTAGACAAGGTGGAGCGGGAGCTCTAGCGTGAGATTCTTGGCGTTCGGGGAAAATTCAAAGGAAGAAAAAAAAGTTTCGACTCCGAACTTCGACGATTGCCGTATTTTTACGCACAGAAATTATGGCTCCTGGACGCACGATAAAGAGGAGACGGTTAAGTCCTCCCAGTGATGAGGAGGATACCTCCTCTCGACCCTCGCGTGATTCTCTCAACGATTTCTACAGCAATGCTGCCGAATGGGATCTCGAACAAGACTACGAGCGCCGACCGCGCAAACTAGGCAAGAAAGACAAAGAGAACACTAGGTTGCCCATTAAGACGGCAGAAGGGTTGCAAATGGTCGAGTCTGGATCAGAGGCGGAAGAGTCTGACAGCTTTCTCGGTACCGACGACGACGAGGACGGTGATGAAAATGAGGCCGATTTCGACGACGATGATATGGAAGATGACGAGGAAGATGCAGAGGAAACTCCAAAAGTGCCATTGAAGTTGCAGGTTATTCAAGCGAAGGAAGAGCTTGCGAGATTGGCGACAATCATCAACGAGGACCCAGAAGAGCACATTTCCTCCTTCAAAACGATGGCTGATATGGTGGAGAACGGCCAACACGTCGCGATACAGAAGCTGGCCCTCGCTGCGCAGGCTGCTGTCTACAAGGATGTTATTCCCGGTTACAGGATTCGTCCTCTCAGCGAAGAAGACATGTCCGCGAAAGTCTCGAAAGAAGTGCGCAAGCTCCGGAGCTTTGAACAATCGCTATTGTCTGGGTACAAGCACTACGTCCAGAAGTTGTTGGACCTTACAAAATCCTCAAAGCGCGATACTGCAGCCGTCGACCCCGGCTTGAAAAGCATCGCGATCAATTGCGCCTGCAACCTCCTCCTTTCCGTACCCCATTTCAACTACCGCACGGAGCTGCTGAAAATACTTGTGAATCGTCTCGCAAAAAGGCAGATCGATGCTGATTTCGTCAAGTGTCGAGAAACAATGGAAGAGGTATTTCGAAAGGATAATGATGGAATAGTCTCTTTGGAAGCTGTTCGTCTGCTGTCAAAGATGATGAAAGCCAAAGATTTCATGATACACGAGAGTGTCTTGGACACATTCCTCCATCTACGACTTCTCTCCGAATTTTCGGCAAAGGGCTCGAGGGATAGGATAGACCGCCGGTCAGCAGAAGAGGAGAATACCTTCCAAGGCAAGAAACCGAAGCAGAAGCGCGAATTCCGCACCAAGCGAGAGCGCAAGCTGCAGAAGGAGCGAAAGGCCGTGGAAAAGGACATGAAAGAGGCGGACGCTTTGGTGTCCCATGAAGAAAGAGACAAAAACCAGGCGGAGACACTGAAGCTCGTCTTCGGCACTTACTTCCGCATCCTGAAGCTTCGCATTCCCAACCTCATGGGGCCCGTCCTTGAAGGTCTCGCCAAATACGCACATCTGATTAACCAAGACTTTTTCGGCGACTTGCTGGAAGCTCTGAAGGACTTGATCGGCCACGCCGACAAATCCGAGGTGGAAGATGGCGAAGAGGAAGCAGAGGACGAAAGCGAATCGACGTCGCGAGATGCTCAACGCGAGGCTCTGCTTTGCACTATCACTGCCTTTGCGCTTTTGGAGGGCCAAGACGTTAGCAAAGCGGCATCATCTCTTCACCTCGACCTGAGCTTCTTTGTCAAACATCTCTACCGCTCCCTTTATTCCCTCTCCGTCAACCCCGACGTTGAATACAATCCCACCAAGGCACTTCGCCTGCCTGATCCAAACTCACACGAAGCAGACGGCTCAACGCACCGATCCAAGAGCAAAGTCAACTTCCAGACACCCACTGTCCTCCTCCTTCGGTGTCTCCAATCTACGCTTCTTTCCCGCGCTCATGGAACGCCACCCACCATTCGACTTGGCAGTTTTACCAAACGGCTCATGACAGCCTCTCTCCAGGTACCTGAGAAGTCTGCACTCGCGACGCTGTCCCTCCTGAATCAAGTCGCCAAGCACCATGCGCGCCGGATCGCGCCATTGTGGAACAGCGAGGAACGGAAAGGGGACGGGGTGTTCAACCCCTTCGCCGCTGACGTTGAGACCACCAACGTATTTGCGGGAACAGTATGGGAAGGCGAGTTGCTGCGTCTTCACTATTGTCCTCAAGTTAGAGATGCGGCAGCGGATATAGAAAAGTTGATTGTGGGCCGGAATTGAGTTGCCATCACAATATCACACTAAAGTTTCACTTTTAGTTTATGATCATTCCTCAAACTTCTTCTGCATTTATCCATTCTGGCTATCACATATCTTTTCTTGTGTTTTTCTGTCCTTTTCGTATTTTCTCAGCCATCGACATACTGGTGATACCCGTAGGTAAATTAAGCACGTGAACGCACGGTCCATCAAGAATCTCCCGTCCTCACATCATTAGTGCAAATAGACCCAAATCCATCGTTCCTTCATCTAGTAATAAAGCCAGCAATCAAATTGACCAAACTGCTCGGGTCCTAAGGAAGGCTTTCAGTCAGGAAGTCCAAATAAACGCTGAGCCTCGGCAAAACATCGAGTGAAAACGTATTCCAGGTCTCATCATCGATAATCCCGATTTAACTTCAGATTGAACGAAACCCCAAAGCAACGCAGTCACATATCTCAATGATTGGTACGGAACAAACGAATGCTCAACGAAATTCATCCGCATTTGAAATCTAAGCATGATGGTTGCTCTGATTACTCTCAGGCGAGGCTCCGCTGTGCGCTGTCGGATACCGCGTCGCAGCCTGCCAATCCTGTGTCCCCGTTTGAGCTGAGGCAGTGACAGGCGCAGGACCAGAAACTTGAAGGGAAGCAGGTATATTATGTGGAGTTTGGCCAGCATAGCTCGGCAGCATCGGGTGTGCTCGAGGGGGCGCAGCCGCCGCAGGGGGACGCACCTGGATATCCCTATTGAGTGACGATGACGAAGAGGGTTTAACAGCGACGGCGTTTGCGGGCAAGCGGTTTGCGGTTGGTGTGCTGGTGCCGATGTTCTGTTGAGGGTGCGAATCTTTCAATCCGCCTCTCTGCGGGGTAGGTCTCTCGGTTGCACAGGTCGTCTGTCCGGTCTGCGTACGCGGCTGAGATTTGAGGCGCTCTCGGTCACGCATGATCTGCTGCTGTCTGTCATTGCGTAAAGCGGGGTGGATGGAGCTTGGGCTCTCCTCAGCGAGTGTCGAAGGCTGCGAGGCTCCGACTGCAGCAGCTGGAACAGAAGGCATTGAGGAATGGCCGTTCTGTCCTAGGGAATTCTTTGTCTTCTTATTCCGACGGGGCGTGTGCAAGAATTTGCCGCCAGCACGACTTTCACCATCATCCCGGCGGCGGAATCCAAACATCCCCTTCTTGTGAGGGGTCTTCACACCTTCATTGGTGTCAAGGTGTGAGTTCTGGATGAGTGAACTCTGTCCATTCTCAGGAGCAAAGTTGGCTACCGACTGGCGACTAAGCTTGGGCGCCTTAGGCTCAGGTGAGCCTGAGGACTCCTGAGCAGGGTTTCTTCTCACTCCTCTCTTCACCTGAGAGTCTGTGATCTCTCGGCGTTTCTCTCCCAAAGGCGTGCTGCGGAAGGGCACAGTAGTGGACGGAATGTTTTGAGCGGGTCCTTGGTCGTTGTGCTGGGTCAAAGAGCCCTCACCCCCGGACACGTTCTCACTCTCTTCCTTCTCCTTTCCTTTCCTCCTATCTTGGTCCCTGCTTACTTCCATCTCACCCTTCTTGACACACCGCTGTCCATTTGTATCGTGTTGTTTCTCACTCTCCTTGGTCACGACGGGAGTATTTTGAGCCGCCTGCAACTCAGTACCTGTGACCTTCGGATCCGGTGCTGAGTTGCAGGAGGCACATGCCTTCTGAGGCGACGTTCTTGACGCGTTGATTTCTCCTCTCAATTTGTTGATTTGGCTCGAGACACCGATCAGCAACCTCTCTTCCATACGCCTCATTTGAATTTCAATTGCTCCGACCTGGCATTGAAGATTGGTCATACCGCGGTGCAGGTCTGACACGGCCTCATTTTGGCCTGCCGTGCGGGCATTGATTAGACGCAGTATATCGAACATGGCGTCTGTCTGTCGCAAAATCTGATCCTTTGACCAATTGTTCGAGTTCTCAAGTACCCTGCAAAGTCTATGAACAACGTTGTTCATATGGACATGGACTGCTTCGATATGAGACGTGAGCTGCTGTTCCAGGTCCGCTGTGTTCCGGTAGTCTGGATCTGGTGGAGGAGGAGCATAGCCTCCGTGACTTGTAACACCAGCGAAGGGGTGTTGAGCAACTGCTGCATGAGGTTGAGCATTGAAATGCTGGGTGTGCGTCTCTTCGAGTGCTGGTCGATATGCTGTCATCACGGTAGGCTGAACTACCCCATGACCATGATTAAAAGATGCGGGATAGCTTGGCTGATCAGTCGCAAGCATCACAGGAAATCTATGTTCATTCGTGTGAACCCGTCCGCGTCTGTAGGCGGTATCTGGAAGGTCTGGGGTCATCTCAGCACTGGCATTGTCGTATATGGACGGCGAGATCGGATCGGCAAATTCATCTTCCACCGCATAGAAAGAGATATTTGTCGATGCAGGGCTGCTCAGATCGTTCTCCGCTCTCAGGCTGTGAATGCTCGGTCGCTCCCTGATGACCTGCGCCTGTCCACTGTTTTCAAGCTCGCCTGCGCGGGCCGCAGGAGAGGAGCCAGTCAGAAGCAGGGTATCAAGCTGCACTTTCCTCTCGGACTCTTGCTCGACAGGGCTCTGCATGGCGTGCCTACCCGCAAAGGGCCCAAGGCTCAACTTTTCGTTGTTTGGCTGCTCGTCATTTACCATGGAACTAGCGACGGCACAGGATTCAACGCTCGTCTGCGAAAACTGTCCGAAGCTGATGTCCCTAAACGGAAAGGGTGGTGCAGACGATGGGTAGACTCCCGGTTCTCGTGGCTTAGGGACATACAGCTTCTCTTCGTTGAAGTCCTGAGTATCCACGTCAGAGCTCTGTCCGCCTTCATTGCCCGCTGCTGGCTCGTTCCTCGAGCTGTCCCTGCGGAACTCCTTTGCAAGGTCTTTGAGACTGAGCTTGGACCTGAGCGCAGCCACTCTCGATTTCATTTTTTCTTTCTGACTGTTTTTGTCCGCCTTGTTGTTTTCGACAAGGTCTTCAGGCCGAGTTGGCTCGGTGACGGAACGCTTCTTACTCATGTTAGGGTTGCTCATGATATCCGACTTGCAAGCCTCGACGGAATCACCATTATCTTCCACAGGAAGGTGGCGTGGCTTTGGCATGGGAAGGGCCAGGTCAGCGTCGTAATCGAGACCCGACGACTTGCGTGAGGTGGTTGGTCTGGCACCCATGACTGGACCCTTCCGAGGTATAGCAACTACGACGAACGAGCTTATTAGCACCAAGATTCTCCGCTTCAGGGAAAAGCATTCGTGTCTCTGTCGAGGAGATATTGAGATGCTTGCTTACCTTTATCGAAGTTGGTGTTGGCAGTCTGCTGTTGCTGCTTTTGCTCCTGAGCCTTCATCTGGGCCCACGCGTTTCCACTCTGCGAAGCCATGGCAACGTAGCAGAAGTAGTAGGCAGTTTCTTTCAAAGGATTCTCGAGCAATGATATAGAAGCTTGTTGCTTATCGCGATGGTTGAATAAGAGCAAAGATGGAAGAATTGTGGAAAAGTTGCTATGGATATGAAGAGAGATTGGTCGATGGTAAGCTACAATGCTTGGGAGGGTGTTTAGGCTCGCTTGAGATCTCACTTCGTGTGTGTGAACACCGTGTGTCTAGCGAGTAGACAGAACTTCACGGAATATCTGCTCAGTGATGGTTTCTTGTTTGTGTTGCTGGTGCACCTGGTGCTGGTGTTTGCTAGCGCCTGTGGACCAGACGTCACTTAGGTGCTCAGTGTGAACTGCAACATGTACCTACATTCTTTGATCATTTGTCTCTTTCTCTCAGGCGGGCAGAATGATATCTGGCTTAAGATTACCCAGTTCTTTTCTTATAGTACATGTAACTATTCCCAGGTTACCAGAAGCTGTTATCGAACAGGATGTCGCTTGTCTGAGTCTGTAGAAGCATGGCGTCGATTCAGAATACGCGACGTTTAGTACGAGCTAATTATCTAGTCGAGTATCCAAAGCTACGCTGCAGGTGTGAATCATGCTTCCTAAATGATCTGCCTGATCTTTTCTGGCATTGATGAGAATGTTGATAATGCAGTTCGGGTTGAATATTCGTTTGAGACAGGTCAAGAGGTTCGGGGTGCTCGTCGCTAAGATGGAGTAACCAAGCTACGCCATCAGAGGTCTGCTTGTGGAAAGAGACTACATATGTTTGAAAAACTTGACAGACAGTAATCCTAACTGAACTGCAGATGCTGCTACCTTCTTGCACATCTTAAGGGCAGTGACAGGGCAATGACAGGGCACTGATCGAGTCTACTCCGTAGCGGAAAGGTAATCCTGGCTACGACGAGGATAGTGCCACACCGAGAGACTAGATTAATATTCTACAATAAGGAGCATTATCTCGAGAATCGAGGTCTTCATTCATTCATCGTAATCATCAAACATAAACATCATTACATACTGGCAGACGATCACATCAACCGCAAACTTCCGGCCAGTCATATCGATCGTTACCAATGTCAGGCAGCCTTCCAAGGTTGTGAGAGTTGCGACAGTTAGAGAGTAGAGTAAGGGAAATAATATTAACAAACTGAGAGCGAAGATCCACAAATATCAAATACAGGGGAATCGAGTCGAGTAAAAATGAGCGGTGATAATTTTTCAACAGATTCAGACTTATCGGGTATATGCACGCCAAATAATAGCCAGCAAGGGTGCAGCGAAAACGGTCATCAAGAACAGATTCCTGAATCTCATTAGCTTTGGCACTGACAATGATTAAGCGATTGATTATTTGATCACTCCAGGAGTTCAGAGACTCTGTAGAGCGGAATGATTTCTCGGACAAGCGGTAGGAGCAACCATCTACTGGTTCGTCCTTCCACGACGGCGGAAGGGCGAGAAGATGGCGCCGAAGAAATTGCCGAAGACGGCACGCAAAATAGTCCTCAACCAGCTGTCCCGCTTATGGTTCAAGGAAACAGCAGTGACTGACCGATTTTGACTGGGAGAACGAGACTCCTCGTTGTTCTTGGGGGCAATTGCCTTGCCGGCATCGCCCTCGGTAGGAGCGGTAGACTCGGTCGCGACGGATGGGCCGTCGGTAGATGCAGGAGAGCGCTCGTCGTGACCGGCTGGCTTCAAAGCCTGCTTATCGCTGGTGGACAAAGTAGGTTCCGCAGGCAACTGTTCAGTGGATGGCAACTCCAGCTTTCGGAGCAGAGCTTCGCGGTCACCAGCAAGTGCTGCAAGAGCAGGATCACTTTCCGGGTCTGGCGTGGGCATGTCCTTTGAAATGGAGGATTCCGTGTGCTTATTGTCGGCGGTCTGGGCTGCAGGTACGAGGTGAGAACTTTCCTGCTTGCCGTCATGAGGCTGAGACTGTTCCTTGGCATTCACATCGTCCTTAGGTGTAGCAACGACTTCAGGCTCTTTGTGAGACGTGGAAGCGACTCCAGCAACAACAGCACCGGCAGCGATGGCAGCTGCGGCACCAGCCCCAACGAGCTCAGGAGTTACAATAGAATCCTTCTCTTCTGTGTCCTTGGCGGCCTCCACGGTGGGCTCGGGGGTGGCATCTTGGACTGGAGGGACAGGCTGAGCGGAAGGATCGACGTCTTTCTCAACCGAAGAGTCGCCATTAGAAACAGGGGCAGACCCTTCAACCTTGGGTTCCTCAGAGGCTACTGGTTCGGATTCGACCTTAGCGGCCTCCTCTTCACCGGTTGGAGATTGGTCTACCTCGCCACTGCTGCTGACCACACCATTGACCTCAGGTTTTGCTGGTGTCTCAGTAGAATCTTCCTGGACGACCTCAGGCTTCGCTTCGTCGGTAGTTTCTTCAACCTCTTGAACCTCGCTTTGCTTTTCAGTCGCAAGTGCGATGGCGGGCTCAGCGACGGGCTCAGCAACGGGCTCAGCAACGGGCTCAGCAACGGGCTCAGCAACGGGCTCAGCAACAGGCTCAGCAACAGGCTCGGCAGCGGGCTCGGCAGCGGGCTCGACAGCGGGCTCGACGGACTCTACCGGCTCAGCGACAGACTCGACGGGCTCAGTGGTGGTCTCCTCTGTGTGCTTGGTCGCTTCTTCTGCGACTGGCTCCTCAGCAACATTCTTCGTGGGGACCTGCTCTACTGCGAGCTCCTCTTGTGGCTCACTGGCTACGGCCTGTTCCGCGGGTTTCTCTTCTTCTTGGGGTTCCTCGACAGTAGCCGGGGCTTCGACTTGCTTCTCCACAGCAGGCTCATCGGCCGAGGCGCTAGCAGTAACCGCTTCAGTGGCCGCCTCCTGGATAGCTGGGTCCTCGGAAGTTGATTCCTGAGAGGGCTCTGCGGACACTACGTCCTTGGGACTCTCATTCTTTGCAGGTTCATCAATAGCAGGGGTGGCGACAGCCGCTTCGGTCTCAGTAGGTTCTACCGGTGCAGTCTCCTCGACAACGCTCCTAGCCACGGATTCCTGAGGAGCTTCCTTGCCGGTGGTAGCATCCTCCTGCTGCTCTTCAGCCGCTACGACTTCGGCAGTTTCAGTTTCAGCAGGGGCCTGAGTGGTGGCTTCCTGCTCAGCAGGTTCAGTCACCTCACTGGTCTGTGGCTCTGAGACTGGTTCTGCCGTCGTGGGCTTCGAAGAAACTACTTCCTCAGCAACAGAGGGTTCCTCTGCTTTCATCACGTCCTTAGAGGCTGTCTCTTGAGCGAGCTCCTTCTCAGTAGCGTCCTCCTGAACGACCGCGGTTTCGATGGAATTTTCAGCAACCGGTGCCACCGCTTCGGGTTCCTTCACTGTCTCTGGCTCAACGGCCTCCTCAACCGGGGCGGATTCAGTTGTCTCCGTCGCAGTTGGCTCTTCAATAGTCACTTCAGTGGCCTTGGTTTCTTCAACAGCCTCGTCGCTGGCCTTGGGCTCCTGGGTAGCGGCCTCCTCAGTTGTAGCGTCCTCGGGACCGCAATCCTTGCAGAGAGTAGGCTCATCGGCGGGCGATTCGGACTTCTCAGTAACGGCAACGGGTTCTTCAATTGCCTCCTTTACCTCCGATACTTCCGCAGGAACTGCTTCCTGGGTAGCAGCAGCTTCGGTGGGCTGGGTGATGGCCACCTCTTCGTTAGCTTGCTCTCCGGTGGTAGGAATGGGTTCTTGGGCCGGTTCGACAGTGGCCGGCTCTTTAGCTGCAGTTTCGACCTCGGGAGATTCCCTCGCAGATTCAGGGATGGCCGTGTCAGCAGCCGGTGCCTCTGGCGCCTCGGGAGCAACAGGAGCTTCATCCTTGGACTCAGCAGCCTTTTCCTCGACTGCTTCGACATGGGAGTCGTTTGCTGGTTCCTGGGTAACGGGGTGTTCCTCAACCTCTGGTTCTTCAGCCTTTGGCGCTACCGCAGGCTTTTCGCTCGAGGCAGCCTCTTCAGCCGCAGGAGTTTCAGCGATGACTTCCGAGACTACGGGTTCGCTTACTTCCGATGGCTTGGAAGACTCTTCAGCAACAGCCTCCTGAGTGATCGGCTTGTCAGCCAAAGTTTCGGTCGCAGCTTCATCTTGAACAGGTTCTTTGACGTCGGCTGCAACAGAGGGTTCTGGTGCACTTTCGATAGCAGGCTCTTCCTTGGAAGGCTCCACGGCAGGAAGAGCTTGACTCGGCGTTTCCTCGCTGACTGGGTCCTTAGCAGGCTCCACTGCAGTAGTGGACTCTTCCGTTGGTGTTTCGAGCTTTGTGGCAGGTGTCTCCTCAACAGCAGGTTCTTTGACTGCCTGTGGCTCAGGTTCTTCGGCGGCTACCACTTGAGTGGTCTCGTCCTTAGCTGGTTCCTTGGTCTCCTCGGCTGGGGCAGATTGAACAGCAGGCTGATCACCGACAAGTTCCTTGGCAGGTCCTTGAGTAGTGGTAGACACCTTCGTATGTGTCTCAGCCTCCTTGCCGGTGATTTCTTCGGCGGCTGCCAATTCGGCAGAGGGTTCCTCTGTTGATTCGTCGGCCTGAGGCGCCTGCGTTGCTGGCTCATCGCCGATGGGCTCCTTGGCGGACTCTTGGGCAGCAGTAGGCTCTCCCGTTGGTGCCTCAGCCTCCTTGTTGATGGTTTTATCAGCGGCTGGCTCTTCCGTTGCCTGCGCCTCGGGCTCCTTGGCGGCTGTCACTTCCGCAGTAGGTGCTGAATCCTCTGTGGAAGCAATCTCAACAGTTGGCTCGTCGACAGTCTCCTTGGCGGATTCTTCAGCGACGGTAGGCTCTTCAGCGGATTTCACCTCAGGCTCCTCTGCGGAAGCCGCCTCAACCAGGGTTTCCTTAGCGGGTTCTTCGGCAACAACAGTCCCAGTTGCTTGTTCCTCGTGAATCGGTTCCTTGGCGGAATCTTCAACAGCCGCCTTCTTCTCAGTGTCAAGGGCTGTATCTTCGACCTTCTCAGTCATCGATGACTCTGCGACAGGAGTCTCTGCAGCAACTTCCTTCTTGGGAACCTCAGAAATCTCCTCATGGATCAGTTCCTTGGCAGATCCTTCAACAGCCGCCTCCTTCTCAGTGTCAGGGGCTGTCTCTTCGACCTTCTCAGTCGTCGATGACTCTGCGACAGGGGTCTCTGAAGCAACGCCCTTCTTAGAATCTTCAGGAATCTCCTCAGGGGCGGAATCCTTGATCTGTTCCTCAACGGCGACCTCCTCGGTGGCTGAGTGCTCGACACCAGAAGCCTCGACTGGCTCGTCTGTCGCCTTCTTCACCTCGGCAAACTCCTGTGCTGGCTGTTCCTCTACGTTGTTAAGGGCGGGTGACTCATCGTGGAGGGTCGTTTGAACCTTCTCTTCAGCGATAGGCTCCGCAGGCACTGTTTTCTTGGACAATTCTTCGGCAAGTGTCGCCTCATCAGTGGCTGTCTCTGTAGGCGCCGTCTCGGCCTTCGTCAATTCGGCTGAGGATGGCTCCACTAGTTTAGATTCCGCAACAGGCACTTCCTCCGTCACTGTTTGCGCGGGCGCAGCTTCTACCTGGGACTTTCCGAGGGCAGACTCTGACTCTTCCGATTCTTTAGCAGCTTTCGTCTTCTCTTCAACTGTAGCAGGGACGATTTCAACATCTTGCAGCTTCTGATCCTCAACCTTCTCGACCTCCTTTGTCTCAGGCTTCTCGGCTTCAACCGAAGTGCTGGGAATCTCTTCAGGCTTGTCTTCTTCGGCGTCTTTTGTAGTTGTCAGAGAAGCCTCAGTCGTCTTCTCTTCCACTGGCTCCGCCTTCTCCACGACGGCATCATCAGGTTGTGATCCAGAAATCTGCTCAGTAGAGTGTGTGCCGTTGGTCTTAGGTTCTGCGGCTGCGTTAGAGGCAGGTTGTGTTCCGGCGTCCTCCTGGATATCGCTCTGCTTGGATGTCTCGGAAACAGGCTCCAGCTTCACCTCCTGTGTCTTGGGTTCCGACTCAGCGTGCAGATCCTTGTCGACAACCACAGGGATATCAGTCTGCTTTGGCGCTTCATCCTTCACCGCCTCAGTCGTCGTTGTGGCTTGCACCTCGGACTCTTCCGCGGTCTCCTCGACCTTCTCGCTGGTGCCATTCTCAAGAGGAGTCTCGGTTTCCTTCTCGACAGCCTTAGCTTCCGCAGCAACAGGCGCCGCAGCGGATGAACTCGAGCCAACAGCGAGGATATTGTTGACGACGCCTTCGTCATCAGCAGCTGCAATCACAGAAATGGTCAGCTCCAACTCAACAGTACCTGACTCAGAGATAAGCTTCGTACCATGCTTCACATCCTTATCGTGGAACCACGGACCGTCGGTACCCTCCCTGAACCGATATTCGTATTGACCCTCGGGCAATTCAACGTCTCTGGAGAAGAGGTATTCGGTCTTAGTGGAGTTCCCGTCCGCATCCTTGTGCTCTATGGGTTTGGCGCTGAGCTCCAAGAGCTCCCATTTGGGATTCGAGAAGGTCCCCGCAACGTAGATGGCGGGGGTCTCCGTTGGACGACGGATGGAGATAGTGACGGTCTCTCCATTGGTGAGAGCCATTATGGTCGTAAAGGTCGTAACAGTCGTTAGGTATCACAGACAAACAAAACAGGAAAAGAGATCAAACGCGAACAGTATTGGAAAACAAAGGTCTTTATTGAATCGAGTCTCCAACGATTGAACAAAGTACCCCTCAAAAGCAAGAGCTGAAATAGTATACAGGAACGCTGTAGTTGAATCGGACAGAAACCTCTCAAAATGAACAAGTAGACCGGAAGATGGAACGGTGGGAGGTTGTGAGAGGTATCGTCAGAGGGGTTGTATGACCAAGCGTAGATTGGTCCGATAAGGGAGACTTAAGGTAGTAGAGAGACTGCGAAAACAAACAATCGAGGGGAGTCAGATGAGGAGATCAACTCGAGCAGACAGATGAATGAGGAGGAGCTAGGAGCCGGAGTGCAGGTGATTCACAAGGGAAAAAAAAAAAAATATGCGGTGCCCACGGAAGCCAAAGGACGGATGGAGTCGTCAAAGTGCAAGCTGTTTGTCAAAGACAGTTAGAAGCCCTCACAACTCAGGCATAGTGCCACAGAAAGTGGCATGGCTCTGGCCGTTAGTCACTTACTATCTACTTAGTTAGCGGGGCACCAGCAGTTGTCACAGTGATCAGGCCCCGCCCGTTATTTGGGCGCTGCCAGTCTGAGCTAGTGGCTTTTTTCGAGGTGATTTGATACCAGTGTGGAGCTGTAGCTATATAGACTAGATGGGGGATAAGGAGGACACGGAATGAGAACATCTTCAATTGGATCCTGATGGACTTGCACTCTTTCATAGATCGGCAGTAGACATAGAGTCATTGCTAACTTCAATGAAGGATGATGATACCAAAGGTAGTATGATTTCTGCATCCATACAAACTTTCCTAGGTACTTAGGTTACTGATAATTTTGCGCAGATCCTTAATGTAGACTAGAGTGTAGACTAAGCCATGAAGGCTCGGGACTGGCGCCAGAGCACAAAATGCGGTGAGTTGGCGGCTTCCCTGCTGCCAATCATATCCCCAGTAATATTTTTTTTTACATGCTCCAAGTAGAGAAGATCAAGTTGCTTTGTATCTTTTCCTGCTTCTTAGCTGTACTCTTGTCTTGTTTTCAATCTCAGCATGACCTGCGCAAAATTTTACTAAAGCATGTCGTGCACAATGATCGAATCCAAGGATGCGAAATTTCTGCATTCAAGAAAAGGAGAGGCACGAGTGGATTCGGTATCAGCAAAATAATAGTGTGTGGCGCCATACAGTCCCATCTTTACTGCTAGTCATTTGGTAGGACCCTCTCCGTCTATGCTGTCGCGCGTCATGTCATGAGATAATTTCATGTTATTATTTCTTACTGTTCAAGAATGCGAGAATCCAGTTATTATCTAAGGACCTTTGTAGTCAAGCATGGAAAGATTTGATTCGACCAGTCCCTGAACTACCAACCCTACGATAGTAAACCATGGTTCGCGGAAAGCAACTTCAGTAAGGCACATGCAATGCAACACTAGAGCATGAAACCCTCGTCTTCCTCCAGAACAGTCGCTATCAAAATACTCATTAGTCTCCATGTGCTCATACGGATAAAGGGGTGTCTTTTGCGGGTCAAACCTCCAGCCAGCATCGTAGTCTCGTCACCTCCTGTCTCCTTTATCCTTGTTGGTATTTTTTGCTTGTGGGCTTCGATACTGTCCTGGCGGTGGATTTCTCACGAGCCATGGAACGGCTCCCTCGGTTATTTGTCCGACCGACAGAGTGATCAGTGTAGCCGGGCTCTCTTAATCACAACTACCCGTGTAGTGCAGAGTGGCTGACTCCGTACGGAGTACTTGATCACTTGGAGTGAGAGGCTCGATATTTCTCTGGATGGCACTGCCTATTCATTATTTTCTAGTAGATGGCTCGTGACCTCCACAGCAAAACCCGGGTGCTCTAGCGCCGTCGATCGTCGCATACATGCTGCAGGTGTTGATTTTTGGTAGAAAATAGGGTGCGGACTAACAGAGAATGCAGCTCTCAAACTAAGAATATAATACACAGGTTGACGTCTTCTGAACCATGTTAACCTTTTATTTCCATCAGCCTTAGAGAGCAATGCAATGCAGTCATAACAGAAACGACAAAGAGACTAACCAATGGTTATTAGGACACTGATGAGACGTTCCATCATCAAACCAGGGTGCTGGAACAGAATTCATTACAAGAGATCTAAGAAACACAGATGCGCACCTTTAACAGCTCATAAAGACGCTGACCAAAAACCTGAAGGAATCACTCACGAAGAACTGCAGGCTAGGGGGAAAAAAAGAAAGATGGAGGTATCTGAAAGGAAATAAGAGAGCAAAAAAACAACCATTGACGTCAATATATCTCCAAATCCTCGAATTCCACCACCAACCCTTCCTCAGAGCCGGCCGTGGCGCTACTGCCCAGCATCGGACCGTTCATCATCGCCCACATGGTGCTATTATGCGAGATATTGGCCGGCCGGCTAGCATACACACCCACGTGAACAAACTTGTCTTCTACCCCGTAGAAAAACCACGTCACTTCTCGTAGCTTCTTCCACGTGCTGCCAACAGCACCTGGCGTCCTTGCAAAGGGGGACAGGGTTGGAATCTGATACCAGACCACAAGTGAATGGCCAACGCGCTCGAATTTGATCCGCAGAGAATGCACACTTGCCGGTCCAGTGTCAGGCAGACAGAGGGGCGAGACACACCAGTCAGCTCCGTCAGCCGTTGCACTGACTGAGGATGCGTTCACTGTCCCCGAGCAGAATTCCATGCCAGCTTTGACCCATTTGCACGGCCGCAGAGACCGGGGTCTTTCGTGACGACTCAACGGCGCCACTGCTGATATTGGCACATTCTCTGAAGAGAAGGATTGAGGTGCGGCTCCGGCGAAAACAACGATGCCGCCTTGATCTGATTCCATCTCCCAGTCCGCACTCACAGTGACTTCGGCGACTACGAAAGGGTTTCGTAACGAGGTAAAAACGATAGGTGCCGTAGCAGTTTCTCCGTTGGGCGGCTTCCGCCAGAGATCCGTGTTAGGACCGGCAGTGAGAGTAAAGTATTCCATACACTCCGGCAGTGAGAATGTTGAGGGCAAATTCAACGTACTGAACGAAGAACCATGAGGAGGCATTGTGCGAGACGCCTGCCTGGGCTGGGCGAAAGTGTTTCAAATTAGGAAAGATTGCCTTATGAGCGTTTTACTCGCAGTCGAGTTCTGTCTTTCTCAATGCAAGTGTCGAATCTGCTTGGAAATTCCTGCCTATTATGAGTTTTCGAACTGCAATAGCCTGGTAGTCGTTCTGAATACAAGTAAGATAGTGATGGGCAGAAGAACACAAAGAGAGAGAAGACAAGGGATCATCGCATCATCGTGGAAAAACGAGTAACTCTCTCATCACAGCAAGAAGCAAGGGAGCTATACTTCTCTCCTCACGGGGTCATCCCATGCCGCGAGTTGATGCGGGTCAAGGATCCCAATGGTATATGTGAAAGTGAAGATCAAGACAGGTGTTGAACACAGAGTGCAGACTTACCCAGTCAGGGCGCAATGAAGCAATCAAGCTAGAAAAAGTAAAGAGACACTTCGAGGAAAAAGCAAGATAGACCCAACGGGTCTTTTGGATGCTGAACGAACGAAGACAAAATTCTGAGGTTGTGTACTCGACAGTACGATACAACTCGCGCAAGGAGTCAGAATCCAACGCAAAGATGAACCTCAAGTTCTCAACTGTAACCCTGATTCGCAACGCGATGTTTGTCAGAGGCTCGCGATAATTCGAACGCTCTGTTAGCAGACGATGGGTGATTCCCAGAGATCCAAAGCGAGTCATCACGAAAACGCGAAATGCAGAGAATAGCCAACTTATAGTGTCGGGGGAGATGCCCTCTTTCTCGCCCCCTTTTAACTGGGTACAAGAAACCATTGCTTGGTTGGTCCCGACATGTCGGGTTCTATCTTCCAGCACATTTTTGGTTCCATTCACGCCTCAAATTTTGATAGAATCTCGAGTGTGAGTGTTTCTGTAGATGCTGATTTGCCATTCATGTGTAGTTCTGCCGTCCAGTTGCTGCAACGTGGTTCACAAGTGGCGGGTCAAGCTGCAGTTCTTGGGACAACAAACAGCCCAGCAGATTTACGCAAGTGATAAGTTGTGGGGTGAACGGTCCGATCTCGAACAGCTGAAAAAGTAAAATAGCCAGGGAGTGGTCTTAGTTTATGGACCTTATGACACAAGCTGAGGGAAGAGAAGGAAATCTAGTGGTAGGGTTTGTTCAGTGTGGAGGGTGTTGGTTCCTATTTATTTATTTCGCCACTGCCAACACAACCCTCTGCCACTCGGAGTTGGCGATATATCGTGTCTATCTGCTCAGAGCTGAGGTCAGACTAATTGTTTACCATGATGTCTTACGCCACAGGTGACGGTCGAGATTTCCCACCGTTCCGAGTTCTACCTTGTCATCGCCGTCATTGAAGCACAGCCATTGCCAAGGGGACACTTTCTGTGGCTTGTCCTGCACGCTTACATCTCTCCTTCTAGGAACATGCTTGTGAATGAGCGAGTACAAGGATCAAACTTGTCAGATCATGCACGAGACCTCAATTGGAACGATGAACATAAGCATGCCCTTCCGAGGCGACTGAAGCAAAAAGTTGACAGGTACGCCAAATCACAATCGAAATTGGACGGACAATGAAGTATTTAACCATAAGAGCGGATCCGTCTATCTATCAATCGGAGTCCAGTCTTTAAAATCTACCCGCGTGTCCTCCTCACCTGTAGCAGGCTTGCTTGTCTTGGTTGCTCTCAGCACACAGATGAGCGAAAAATAACGACTAACGTCCTTCTCCTTAATTAAATCATTTTTGCGGTTATAGCGACACGTCCAGGCCGCTTCAGCTAATACGCGTGCTACACTGGTGTATTCTGTCTCTCAGAGATGGTTCAGAAAACTGCGCTTCACGGACGCGAGATATGCGTGGACTCAAGCTTTGATGTTCTCCAGAGCACATGCAGCCAGTTTAAAGAGACAGGAAGTTAATCCTTGAAATGCATTGACTTGCTTATCCTGCGGGGCACGCAATGTCGTGACCGGCCAGGAGTACAACAATCCTGCCGCGTATATATCGCTACAGCAGAACGAGAAATCAGTCCCTCACTGTTAACAGAGGGACTAAACAACATGCTGATCTCGGGTATGTGAGCGAAAGCCTTCAAGACGTAGCAATAGATTGTCCATGGACGTAGAGCAGAATCGGCTTGGGTTTGAACACAGCCTTATTCGATACACCACTCAGGAATTCACAATTCTTGCACGCCGCTCCAGTAATAACAGCATGGGGCTCCAAATAGGTATGAGGTGTATGACGGTCTTCCGTAGTGGATCCTGAATTCGTGATTAATATTGGGTGAAAACTTTAAGTTAGCCAGTAGAAGCCTTTTGAGGAGATTGACATGGGGTTCCTCCAAGACCGATAGAGATTCAAGCGGTATTGAAGTCAACGTATAATGGCGAATAGCAGCAACCAGTTCCCTATTTGGTTCTTATAACAACGACTGTTATCGGACGCATTGGGTGACGAATGTGCCTGGCAATGACTCGTCTGACTATTAGCTCCTAGTCTCCCAGAGACTGCTGAGCGCCTTATTATCCGCCAAGAAAAAAACAACCTTCGAACGAGGCTGATTCGGGAATGACTTGTTAAATTTGGCGAAAGATGGCCATAAGTCGCTAAACTAGACCCGAATCAACCCAAGCGTGATTGTTGTTGAGATGCGATCTTCGTATTTTTCTTCCTCATGCTCTTCACGGCCCAATAAACGGTTGTGCTTAGCCCCCAGCACCTCGTATCCCCAAGGCTGAGCCTCCAAGCCGTTCATCATGCTCGTCGCTAACAGAAACAATCGCAAGCCACAAACCAGCATACTTTTTGAGCCCAACTCCTATCTGAACACTTGAAAACGGGGCCCCGTCGCTGTTTCTGTGTCGCAGCCTCCAGCAATTGTCCACAACCTGACTTGCGCGGTTGTCCTCAAAAGAGAGCGTGTCTCGAAACTCATAATGTTGTTGCCACGAAAGTCTAGGGGCGGCCACTCCAGTGGTTATTCTTACTCCAGTTATAACCAGTCGCCATGGAACGAAGAGGTTACATTTTCGATGTACAGCGTGTATGGACGCAGATCGTACTTCGTTGCGCAGCTCGCTTTCGAGTTCCTCACATTGGGAGTGCTGCTTCTCTTCCTCTTTGGCTGTTTTTTCATCAGACAGCCTAAGGCGCTACCCAAGACTCTCCCTAAGAAGGCTCTCATCTTCGGGATATTGAGCTATATCCTGTGAGTAGAATAACCGATTCTCTGTCGCAAAGAAAGATAAATCAAGAAGACAAACCCGAGTTCTAACTGTCTCCCCTAGCTCCGAGCTCCTTACAATCCCTTACATGTTCTTCTATATTTGCGAGGTCACAGTGAAGCAGAGCTATGTTGTCATGTTAATGCTCCAAACGATATTTTGGCTTCTCGCCGTGTTTCTCATGTTCTACGTCTTCTACCGAGTCATCCAAGCATATCTCAACCGAATTGCGAACGGCGGCAAGACATTCCTTCCCGTGTCCATACTGCACTGGGTTCTCCTGGGTGTTTTGGGGATTCTCATGGTAGTCAATGCGGCCATGTACATTGCTCTCCTCGTCATGGAGGTGAACGGAAGCAACCCACTGCGAATACTTGGACACTACAACAGGATTGTTGAGGCTCGCATCATCGTCGCATGGCTGATGTCTCTGGAGATTCTCGTGTGGACAATATTCATCATTGCGAAGTCGAGATTTAGCAGCAAGGTATGCGCCAACTTGTCATCTAACCTTGTGCCTGTTCGCTAATAACCTTTGATCAGACCGGATCTATAACCCTTGCTTTGGCAGGATTCTTCCTCTTTGTGCTCAACCTTGAGCAGCTGATCGTGACAATCATGTACAATTTCGAATCGAAGATGCCGCCAGGGTACTTGAACCTGGCCACCTCAATCGTCGCCTTCTTCTGCACAATCGGCATATACTTCGGCCTCATCTTCTGCTGTATCCAATGGTGCAAAGCCAGCAAGATCTATTCTCAAGAGCATGCTCAAAACGTCCAGCATGCCCCATATGCCCAGCATGCTCAGAATCTTCCTCCTCCCCCTCCAGGCCCTTACGCTCCTATGTCCTCATACCAGCCATATCAACCGCCGTCACCACAGCCTCCTAGCCATCCAGCGCATTCCGGCTACTCGAGCCCTGCGCATGGTGGCTTGAGCCCCGTGAATGGTTACTCGGCGAACGGCAACGGACAATTTCCTCCAGCCGAGCTCCACAGTGAGAGCGATGCTGGATCGCATGGACTCCCACCTAACCAACAATACCAACACCATCCTCACGCGTGAAAGGAGGGATATCAATAAGATCAGTCGTCTTTTTCTCTCGAGAACAACTTTCCTATCCTATTTGATGATACCATTTGTTTTTGTTGGATATTTTACAATACTTATTGAGCGATGAGCCCGACATACCCCGTCTCAACGTTTCAATATTGACGAAACGCACGCTATGCATATAATATAACCATCTGTTTAAATAAGAAATAATCTAGAGACCTTGCATTCTCAGTGATATTTATCCCCAGTACAGTAATCCACACCGACCAACCCCGCAGGGTGCATTATAAGCCAGTGCCGCCCACCACATCTCCACCCTGACATCAAACCCAAATAAGCGCCACCCAACCGACGGACTCTTCAAGCAGAAGCAACAACCATCAGAAACCCAACAACGACAAACACAAAATAAGAAACCATGGTCTGCGCAAAATGCCAAAAGAAACTCAAGTCCACGGAACTGGTCACCCCAGGCGTCAAACGCAAGAGTGAAATGTACTATGGCTCGCCGGCGACGACCCTAGGCGGTGGTGGCGGAGCTGGAGCTGCTGGCCCTGCAACGAAATCAAAACCGACGTTGGGGAATACCGGCATTGGAAAGGTATGTTCTATTTCATTCTGAGGTGCAGTGCTTTCCAAGTGACTAATCTAATGATGCATAGAGTAAACTGCTTAGCTCCAAGGCCAAGAATCCATATGCGGCGTACTCGTCGTCTTGTGAGTTGTGCAAGACCAAGACGGAGCAGGGGCGGAAGTATTGTCAGCGCTGTGCGTATCAGAAGAATGGTAAGTTCTTTATCTTTGTTTTTCTGGTTTGATCTGTGGGTGAAGCAGTTGCTGATGGGACCTATAGCTTGTCCGATGTGTGGGAAGAGTTTGGCTGGGAAGACTGCAAAGGACCAGCCTGTGGTCCAGGGGCAGAAGTTCAACTTGAAGTGATGCAGTGTGTTTAATGCTTTGTGTGTCTGTTCTTCAGCTTGGTTTACTTAGTTTCATTGGGATAGATGTTAGGCGTTGGCGTTCGGGTCGATTTTATTGTAATACTCCAAAAGAAGTGGGATCATGAAGCTGAAAAAATGATTGAAATCAGAAAGCTAGTTATACATTTCATACTACAGCAGTATATGCAATTCAGTGACCTAAAAGCGGAAAGGGTCACCCTCAACCCAAAGAAATACTCCGCGCAACATCTCTATCGATACAAATCTTCCTCCAGTCAAGCCAACGACAAAGAGTATCATGAATGCGACAGATGAATTCTCTGTAATTCGAACCTAGGCATTTACCGCTCAGCCAGCATGTTCTTGATGTTGCTGTAGTACTGAGGGAGCACGAATTTGGCAATCTCCTCCTTAGCCAGCCACTTGAAGTCCTGGAGGTCCTGCACGTTGGTGGACAGGTCAGCCTGTCCAGCCATGATACGCCCCTTCATGAAGAATGTCTTCTCGCCGAACCATTGTTGGCCAGTTGCGGGGTCGGTCCTGGGGTGTCGGAAGTTGTAGACATGGTGGCCAACAGGGTGATAGCCCACCATCCAGGTGTTCATGTTCACACCAGCGGATTGTTCCAGGGTACGTTCAGCGGCCTGTGCAGACGATCAATTAGTACCCCATAATGGCCATGCGCTCGATTTCCAACACTACTCACCACGCGAAGGGACTCCCCGGTCTCGACCGGCGAACTGGGGAGTTTCCAGAATCCCTCCTTGGTCTGGACAAGAAGATAGAGAGTTCTCTGCAAAGCCCGGTTCAAACTCCTCTGGTCGTTCTTCTGGTCCGCCTCCGTCACTCGGGGGAACGGTCTGGGGATCTCCTCCTTCTTGCTGGTATCTTGAGAAGTGGCATTGACAGTAGCCTCTGCATCCCGCACAAGCATCTCAATCTGATGCTCTGGTTCGGACTCAACAGCTCCGACGAGCAATTCGTCGTTCCATGCTTCCTTCGAGTACGCGTTATACTTGCCGATGTCGCGTGCAGGCGTTTGACGCTCCCGAATCTTACGCTTCCAGTCCTCATCAGCCGGAGTACCCCGCTTGAAATAGAAGTATTTTGTGAACGGAAGTGCCAGTCGCTCGTTCAGCCGTTTCTGGTAGAAGAAGTACGCCTTTTCGAACGGTGTGAGATCGCGGGTGATTTGCGGAGGACGGGATAGGGCCACGCCGGCCTTGATGATGTGTGTAGGTCTGACGACGGGAAACGTAGAGGCAGGAGTTGAAACGGTTTCTGAAGCTGAACTAGGCGCAGCAGTGGAAGCATAATTGCGGCGAACGAGTGTCTCTTGACAGCTTCTGCAGACTCGGGAGTCGACTATTGAAGGCCCTGAAAAGAAGTCAGAAAACGACCTAAACAAAGTAAAGAAAAGTTGACTATTGCGTACTTAACACAGACGCCATGCGCCTGGCGCCATTGGGTCCTGAAGACATTTTTACAATGCAACCACTGGACTCTGTCCGCGTCAATACAGTCCGTCCCCGATAATTGTCAAAGAAAAGTTGGCGGTCACCTGTCTGCCGACGAACCACGCTAGTCCTGCACGGGCTAGGATACCACGTGACATAAGCCTTTTATTTCTCTTTTTTCGGTTCCCGTCTCTCCTGTTTCCTTCTTTTCTCTCACAGCACCTTTTCCTTATCGTCAGCTGCGTTACGATTATTCTACAACCAGTCGATCATTTAGTGGTGCTCAGAGAGAGTAGGCGGCCTTTTTTCGCTAGCGGTACCTTCTTTAAATCAAGGTGTACTGTTAGATAGACGCTGCGTACATTCTGCTATACTGCCAATTTTGGGTCATTGTAATCGACTATGCTTTAGTATGGTGACGCCCTCGGGGTCGTTCTTGTTTCCAATCGATGACATATCTGTGTACAGTCAAGAGAACTTTGAGCTACGCGTAGTTGGACCTGTACCTCTCTGCCTGGAATTCACGACGCACCCATCACGCAAACTCTTTCCAATGTGCCAAAGACTCGCAACTTGTTCCCGTATACTTTCCAGAACTCGGCTCCCAGTCGAGGGATGAGCTCGCCATTAGCAGCTTTCTGCATAACCTCGACAGAATCGGTAGGACCCAATGACAATCTACGGTCATCAATATGTATATTACTGTCGACTTCATCCATGGCCTCTTCAATTTCTAGTAGATCAAATCTCGTCCCGAGGAGTCTGTTCGTTGGCGCTTTGGGAGATTCTGTGGTGCTCGGTCTTGACTTCGACCCAAAGCTATTCTTTGCGCTTCCAGATGTTGTTTGCAATCTGCGCTCAGCATAGGCATCAGATGCAACCTCCTGATACGTTTGCTGGAGGTTCGAGGTGTCTTGAGCACCTTTAGTGGACTTCTGTTGCGGTAGGTCTACCCCTCCATCGCGGAGCTGAGCAGACAGCCTGATAAAAACTTGGGCAGTTAGCAAGCTATCGTAGCCTGCTTCATGTTCAATCTTCTGAGTAGTATACTTGAAATGTTGCGGGTGTATGCCTGTTGTCTTTCTTAGCCATCAATTCAAGCGGCCGATCAAGGATGTCATGCGCACTGATTTTCGGAATTGCTTTCTTAGCCAAGTTTCCGTTGAGCTCTGAGAGTGATGACCTGGGATTGATGGAACCACAGTTATGTGTGGCCATGTATTTGGTGTCCATCAAGACCGGAAACAATTCGTGCGCCATCGACTGGAACTCTTCCACTTTGCTTGGAAGAGGCCCAAAAAAGCAACGGCAAAAGTAGATAAGATCTGAGAAAAGGTTATGGCCAACAAGAACAGGCCTATGCTCTTTCAATCGCTGCTTGAGTCTGTCTGAGAACTCGTTGAGAGGGTATTTCGATTCTACAGCGGCGGAGCTCGCCATGATACCAATGAAGTAGCCGGAATCCAGATTGGTAAGATCTCCTCCAGCTAAAGCCTCAGCTACCCACCTAAAGCCTGTCTGCTTCCAGGTGCGCTCCCGTACTCTTGTGACTCTTTGCTCGCGGACTGATCTCTCACGTTCCTCGTTGTAATCGATGATTTGGATGAAATCGGGTCTGCTGATCGTCACCAATGAAGGATATTCCACCTCTATCAACTGGTGAACAAGCCTTTTCTGAAATCTGTTCAAGGCCGAGGGCAGAGACTTGGATGATTGAGAAACACCAAGGCGGGTTGGCGGTGGGATGTTCAGGTAATCTTCGCGTGTCTGGTACAATGATTAGCTTCCTCAAAGAACCCGGTGATGGTTGTCTCACGGCTCCCAGTGCAAGCCAGTCATCTACGAGACGGCGAACGGCTTTTAGGAAGGCTAACGACTCGTGTTCCGTCTCTTTGACGTCAATCGAAGTGTGTGTTGCGACGCGGTCACGTCTTTCGATGGCGTTGGCAATAGCTTGTTTTTCTTCCTCCCGAGACAGGTATTGGACACCTTGTTTCAAGATGGAGTCGATGCTGAACTTGTTCTCGAGTAGGAACTCAATAGCTGGGCAGATTTGTTCAGGTTTCTATGTCTGTAACTAAGGCGGCCGACTGGACATACCGCTGCTTTGCATGGACCAGCCTCTCTCCACCTCTAGTCTCCGGTCGATAATCGGATTCAAGTTTACGTTGTAGGGTTTCAAAGTATACGAAGCTGTCGAGGGTCCAAGTCAATTGTCGGAACCCATGATGAAGGGCAAGGACTGAAGATCTGACCATTCTCGGTATCCTCGTGACAGATTGTCAGTCCGACCTGTAAGATCTGATATTTATCGGCTGAGTTTTTCACTTCTTCGTAGCGAGCCTGGAGGGTCTGGGATCCCCTATTTGGATTTGAAGGAGTAGTAGCGATCCCAGAAAATTCGAAGTCCATGGATACAAAGCAGCATGTTGCCAGATCATCCAGGATCCGGGGAAGATGATAAGGGAATGTTTGAGCTGTTACATCCATCTTCTCAGTGGCCCACTGAGCTTTGGGAGTAGTCTATGCTAGATCGAGAGTTGAGAGAGACGAAAACAGTTAGAAAGAATGGAAGGAGTTCAATTAGAAAAAAGAGGATGCCCTAGGAGCAAGTGATGCATATATCCAAATGATTTTAATCCGAACGTTGATTGAAGCTAGCATGTGGGAAGACGAATGAAGTAACACTTGCCCCAATTGACAGGTAATGAAGCAAGTCTCGTGAGCTCCGCGTACTTCATCATCAGTGAGTCCTCTCAGAGATATGTTCAATGCAGCAGTGATGGTTGACTCTTTTTCCTACAGTGCAATGCTTAAAAACAATAAGTCTCTTGATAGTAAGTTCAATAATCAAGGTAAGATCATGATACGGAGCAGTACTCCGTGGTTTACAGATCCGCATCCCGTGACATCAGCCAGACCCCAGACTGAGAGCAATGGCCGAGCCGAGGGAAAGCAGTTAACCCCAACTCTTGGGTTCAATCGGAGTCTAGCGACTAACAACTACCACTCACAAGCTTCATGCACCCTTGCGACAGCTTCAAACTTAAGATATTTTTTCGACTTCATCACTCCTGCCGCTATTGTTGAAATTGCTTACAATTACTATCCATTCCTTCTGACCTCACATTGATTCTTTCTCGCTGATCGCATTCTCCGCTGGCGGTGAACAATGGCCGAAGATGGATCGTACATGACGACGTCTCAGTCGCAACTTTCATCCTCCACCTCGTCCCTGTCTCCCTCGAAGTTCTGTTCAAAGACATATAAGAATGCCCGGGAACTCTTTCTGACACGACGGTTGCCAGAGGCCTTGGCCGCTCTTGAACCTGCTATAACTGTTGCGCAACCTCATGACGAGCGATACGTTAACGGTGACGACTCAACGCCGCCTGTCGCGTCCTCTCAAAGTACTTGGAGAATCAAAGTATGGAATCTGTATATCACTCTCTTGAGTTCCATTGTCGACTTGGGGCCTGAGGAAGGGAAAAATCAATTCGGTCAGAAGAAGTGGAAGTCCATCTCGTCTCAGGTGCGCGAT